CAAACAGATACGTAGACGGACAGACAAACGGACGGTCGGACAAGCGGACGGGCAGAAGAAAAGACGGTCGGGGGGACGGGAAGACGGATGAGCAGACGGAGGGACGTTTTGAAAAAAACAACACTTTTCTTTACCAGGGAACCCAAAACGTGTATTTACGAATTCTGGAAACAGTATTTCATAACTTTCTCTACACCACTTATTTTACTCTGCATGTACGCATACGTATACCAGAAAGTAAAAATAGCTCATGATATCCAACTGAAACGTACGGTCAAGGAATTTAAGATATTTCGAGGCGACGAAACCACCTTTCACGACGGTCAAATTTTGCGAAATACGCCCAAAAAATTTGCGTAGAAGCAAGACATACCGAGGATATAGTGCAGAGTTTGCAGCAGAGATGTCGGCGTGGCCCTCGCAAAAGACGGGATGCAGGCGGTAGATTCAATGACCGCACTCACGGCCCAGGCTGCTGCAACAGCAAATATCGTGGCTGCATCAGAAGCAGTAACCGCGACGCTTGACAAGCATCATCTTAGCATAAACGTCTGGGGGCTCTAACGAGGTCCTTCTGACAGGATCGGAAACAATTGAACATCGTTGTGTGTGAAAAGGCGCTGTGACGATGAGAAATGTTTATCCGCTGATCAGTATAATGTTACTGTTAAATGATTGGCTTGCGATGCTATTTCGAAATGTACACTAACCTATTCCTATGAAATTTGAATACCCAGTTCATAGTAAAAAACATTTATTGGAGGTTGCAATATTTTAAAACTATGTATATAAATTCAGCATTTGATTATTATTCGTTACGAAACTACTGGAAGAAGGTTTGAATGAAAGCACCCTATTGAAACAACTAAGTTCAAACAGTTTTAAAAGTATACTTTTAATTTATAACATAAGTTTTTAGGTATATTCGTTTACGCAAGATGCAGACGGTTACCAAATTCGGCTACCGAACTCGGTCATATTTGTAGGACTGTTATCATTATTGATAAAATAAGATCAGCAGATCTGTAAAACGAAACGCCAGATTATAAGCAATATATTTAAGGTAATATTTGTGTATCAACTGATCCTACTGTCCTTGCCTGCAATGCAAAAACATACCTCACTGTCTGCCAAAATATGCTTTTTTTAGGTTGATTTTAAAATTAATAAAAAATATTAAATATGTTTTCCAATTTTGAATACCTTTTCAAATGTGCACTAACAGTGTTTAATCCAATTTCACCCACCCTTCCCTTTTGAAAATTGATTAAAAATGCCTAAGCAGCCTCCGCATCTTGGACCCACAGTGCTTTTCCCAGTTCGCAGAACCTGTATATTTCCTCCGCGGGGCGACGAACGCAGCGACAACGACCTGCCTTGCAGCCGGAGCCGCTGCAGCAGCAAACAACGGGCGAGGCCGCGGATGCATCACAGCCGGGACTGTCGGCGTCGTCACTTGACATGCACCAGCGCAGGAAACGACCTCGGGCCTTTGGCAGCGGTGCAGGCGAGTGGGGTTGGGTGGGATGGCGGTGAGGGGAGGATGGACAAGAAAAAAGTTGGGTGGGGAGCGGTGATGCGGGGAGGGCGGGGGCTGGGCGACGCTGGGCAGGGCAAGGCGAGGGAGGGAGTGGAAGACGGCTGGTGGAAAGGGGAAGGTGGGGAGGGAGGGTAGGGAGGAGGAGAGCAGGGAGGAAGGGCGAGGGATTGGAGGAAGGAGGGGGCGGGGCATTGCATTGCATGGCATGGCATGGCATGACATGGCACTTTACTGTACTGCAATGCACTGCCCGACCTCGCACGGCACGGTAAGGCAGAGTAGAGAGGGAAGGAAAGGGTAGGGCAGGATAGGGAGGGGTAGGTTAGGCCAGGCGAAGGGCAGGGCCGGGATGGGGCAAGTTAGAGTAGAGCAAGGCAAGGACGGACGGGAAGAAGTCGAGGCCGTAATGTTTCATGGCCCGCATTAACAGGAGCCGCTTCAATAAAACGCCCACACACGTAATGAAATGTTTGGCTTTTATTTAGGTTTCTGGGCGACCTTACGGGATTTGATTCCTGACATTATGTCTGTTGTGTTGCAGATTGTTGACACAGTGCATCATTATACTGTGCGGATACTTCGTAGCTTCCCGAACAGGAGTTAACTGTAACGTAGTGAATGAGAATAAATTCAAATGACAAAAAATAAAAATAGTATATTGAAAAGTTACAGACTAGTTACAATAAATTGCTAAATTTAAACACTCCGGCAACCTTTTCCTTCCTGTACCCTGCTTTACCGCAGAAAAATAAAAACCACGCGTGATGCGATCCGTGTGTCCCGTGACAATTACCGTCACAAGGCCTGATGCCAAAATTTAAACCGGTCGCCTTCTGGCGGACCGCGTGCAGAAGGCACACGAGATCGTCTGGCCCTTACACTCCGGACATCTCGCCCACACTCCTACACTCCTTGTACCGACTCGTACAACGCTCTCCGATGTGAACTGAATAAGAACGCGGGCGCAGTTGGCGCCGCGTTAAATAGTTGAGGGCTACACCCCCACCACTGTTCCCTAGATAGGCTCGCTTGCTGTCGGCAAGCGAGGGCTCGCTGGCTAGCATCTTAGGAGGGGGCTACACTCCCACACACAAGATTCCCAGGTTGGCTCGCCTGCTGTCGGTAAGTGAGGGCTCGCTGGCTAGCATCCTAGAAGTTTACAGCCTAAGGTTATTTTTGGCTCTGCTACGCTACCTGCGTCAACTGCCAGAGCGCAAAATCCCCGAAGTTCAGGCTCAACCCCTTCCTCCCCCGCAGCGCACTTTCACCGACCTAACGGTTCTGGCCCTCGTGTTAACGACGCCACATAACGCTGTATTGTGATTCTGACTAAGGGAGAAGCACCATTCGGGCGATGGAAACCACTACCACGATGCCCTTAGGGTATAAAGAATATTCTACGTAGGCAGATTTTTTCTACTTCCGATCTAGGCATTAAACCGCTAAACAAATAGGAGGATTTGGGAATGTCTAGTGATCGATTACCTATCTCTTACCATAACCTCCACTACTACCGTATGACATATGTGACCCGAGCTGTGGGACTGAAAACGTGGCTGGTACGATTGATGCTCCTGCGAATGCTAGGTGCGAAGTGTTATTCATTTTCTTCAACATAAAAGAAATAGTGCAGCAGAAAATCACCAAAGAATGAGGGGTACGGTGAAAAGAAGTCAAATAAATGAAGAGAAATGCTGGCTTCTGGAAATGTCCTCAGTCATGGCAACGCCCGCCCTCACAGTGCTGTTGTAACCAAAAAACGTCAGGGGCAGATACAATTTTTTGGGGGATTTGCCCCGAATGATTTTAAGCTCTTCCTCAAATTGAATAATTGGCTTCTTAAACCAAACCTTCCAGATCAATCAGATCAATGAGGAGCTTCAAAGCGACGGTTTGAGCCTATTCCACATCACTGGCGACAACATTCGTGGAAAACCCTTGCGAAAAGACGCGGAAAACGTGGTTTCTAAAGAAATGTAGAAAAAAATTCTATTATTTATTTCCAAATATTAAAAATACTTATATCGTTGAATTTGCCTCATTGCGTACTTTAGAATGGAGGTAGAAAAAATATACTTCCATTTAACAAATCAAAATTGTGTCAATACTTAAAAAATTAAAAACGTTACAAAGCAGAACATGCAACTCGCATTCCGATGTCGTAAACTGTTTAGAATATATTCGCAGTGACCAGCCTTAAATGTATTCACTTTGTATTTATATGCATTCTTTCTTTTTGTTTCGGATTTAGACAACCAAAAGTATTGCTATAATACTATTGCAATAAGGGTGAAGGACCTTTCCTCCAGACAATTGCGCAGGAGTTGTCATCCGATCGGAACCCGTGTCAACATCACGCACCTGCGTGTCAGACAGAGCCCCTGATACGGCCGCAGAGAGCACCGCCAACAAAAGAGTAACTAGCACCCGGTGCACGAGACCGTGCCACCGGTACGACACAAAGCACACTTCTTATCCCACGCGGCGAAACATTCCTCGATTAATTAAAAACGTGCGGTGTACGTCGCTTCACGGATCGCCAAGAGGAGCGCGCGTCATAGGATCTGCCGTCGCAGCGGCTATTGTTCCCGCGGCGCTCCTCAAAAACTCAATTATCTTTGTTTATATCGGCTTCTGCGGGCTGCAACCCGAGATGTCCGGCGCGCCGTTCGTCTGAAGTGCAGGACCTGCAATCACGCGCCGTGTTGACGTGGAACGCGTCCAGCACGACGGGGTGGGGAGATGAAGCGGCAGGGAGCAGGACGTGGGGCGGGGAGAGGAGGGGCGGTGCGCGATGGAAGTATGGAAAGGGGCGAGGGAGTGACGGAGCAGGAGGAACGGAGAGGAGAGAGGAGTGATGAAAAGGGATGGGAAAAGTGATGTCGGCGGGAGAGGAACGATGCAGACCGGGAAGATCGACAGGGGACGGGGAAGGGCGGGGAGGATCTGGACGGGACAGAGGGATCGGGGGAGCCAGGCATGGCCGGTGGAGGGGGCGGAACTGCGAGAAGCGGGCCGATGTACGTGTGTGGTAGGTAGTGAGGTGTAAGTAGGAAAGCATGTGGGGCAGTGACAGCATTAGAACGGAACAGCAGAGGCAAGATATGTGAGAGGCGAGGTGGCGTGTGAGGCAGAAGGTGCTGGACCGGGCAGATCGACAGGGGGAAGAGGAAGAGCGGCGGACCAGAGAACCAAAGCAGCAAGGCGGGCGGGGGCGTAGCGGTGGACGTAGCGAAAGAGGCGGGGAAGTCGTCAGCAGGAGACGAGCGGAGAGACGGTGATTTGGTGGTGCGAGGTAGGGGAGTGCTGGACCTGCGTCTCCAAAGGGGGCGGGGACCAGAGAGACCCAGGGAGCAAGGCGGGGCGCGGAGGGGTGGAAGTAGGGGAAAGGGGCGGAAGTGTCAGCAGGAGGACGACGCGGAGAGACGGTGATTGGTGGTGCGAGGCAGGAGTGCTGGACCTGGCGTCTCGAAGCGGCGGCGGCATGGGCGGCGACCAGGGGGACCGCAGAGCACGCTCGCCGTGCTGGGGACGGCAGCGGCGGCCGGCGCGGGGCCGCGGGAGGCGGCGCGCGCGACCCGAAAGGGCGCCGGTCGCCGCCAGCGCTTTGTTTTGCCGCGCGGAATGTGCCCGCGCGTGTCCGCTGCGGCCGCCGCCGCATTTCCATTTTTCTTCATTTTCCTCGCGACCGGTCCGCGATCGGACGGACAGCTGCTCCGTTCACCGCCGCCGCCGCCCGGCCGACGCACAGTAGAGGAAACACCCGACGCGTTGGCTTCATTAAATAAGAGATTTCGTGTCAAAAGGTCTTCGTTTTTCGGCGCACGATTACAATATTTTCTCTTCTTACGTACGTAAGGGCGAGAAAGTAAAAAGTAGACTTTTAATACGGTGCAGAAATAAAGAATATATGTGAATTGGTGCAAGAAGGACCAATGTCAATATTCGAAGATTTACGGAATTGGTGGTTTTCTTGCACCATCGAAATGACATAACAATCGTAGACCAATGTAAATCAATGTGAAATAGATCGATGATTGACTTTTGTGATCAATGTGAACACGATCGACTTTTGACTTTGGCCTATTTTTAACTGAAAAAAGGGGGTTTAAACACATTGGATTAACAAACCGGAAATCACTAACAATTGACACTGGCCCTTAATGCACCAAACCATATTATATATATATATAT